CTCTGCTGCAGGCCCCTGGGGAACGCTGGCTCATGCCTAAAGTGACGAACGGAGAAAACCAGTCTCCTTTTGTTTCTGGCAAAAATGTATTGCATCTGGGTGTGATGACTGGGCTGTGGCAGCTCCCTTGGCACCATGAGGAAAGCAGCCTGAATCAGGACTGACAGGTCTAGGCTGCCAGCGCAGTAGGATGAAAGGAAGCCAACTGCTTGGTAATACAAAGAATCATGGAGGTAACCAGCCCTGAAGCCACTCTGCCTGAGACCAGAGATCTTCCTTTGTTTTAAACCATTTTAAGTTGGGGTTTCTGTTACCTGCACCCCAGGCACCCTGAGTGGTTCGGGAAACTGCCTCCATTTCTTTCCAGGGAGTAAAGCAGGCCTGGTCAAATCCCTCGGCCTTTCCCAAACCCTAGGGGTTGCATTCCCACTCCAGAGTCGTGTAAAGAGAGAGCAGACCCTGATGTCCACAGGCAGCTGGGGGGACACCCCCACTCCTGGAGGCACCCCCCACTCCTGGAGGTACCCCTCCTCGTCCCTGGGCACGCCGTCCATGCTCAGACGCATGTGCCGAGTGGTGCGCGGGTCCCCTGGAACACGCAGGACGGAGCCGCACTGCGGCACCGGCTTGCGTTCCACCCACACCCTTCCCCACGCTCACCCCCGAGAATCTATATTTAATTGTCTCTGCAAAATCGCAGCCTTGGAGCGATTTCACACAGGAGATCCTTTCTGAACGTCAGAGAGGCAGCAGCTTGGCTGGCCGCGTGCTCCAGCCTATTAATAGCCCGGCTGCCTCTGGTCCTGTTGCCTGGGGAGCTGCTGCTTTCTCCGCGGCAGAGACGCAAAGGCGACCTTCTAAGTCAGGCCTCCCTACCGCCCCCACCCGCCCCCGCCTCGCCAACCCTCCCGGGGCCCTTCCTTGGGTCTCTGGCTCTGCCCGCTGTCCGTTCTGCACGGCAGCGATTTACTCACTTATTTACGTGTTGTCGGCACTGATCAGAGCGGTGGGGGCGGGAAATGAGAGCCCCAGACCTGTGCAAGTGCTTTGCCAGGGTCTCCAGGGAGAATCCCATGCCATGCGCGGGCCAGAGGTCACTGTCACCTTGGCCTCGAGGTGGCTTGTTTCCCAAAGTGAAACAAAGATACGGGGCAGACGTCAGCCAGGGCAGTGCCAGTGGCGGGCGCCTGGGCCGAGAGCCGGGCCAGACCGGCGCTGCCAGGCCAGCGGGGCCGCCCAGTCCCGCCGCACACAGGCCCCAGCGGCTCGGCAGCTCCGACCAGAGGTCAGCGGGCACACGCCAGCTCTCTGACAGAACGCTCCTCTTGGCCTAGTTTCGGGGCTTCCAGGCGGCCTCGGCCCCTCTTCCTCGTCCCTCCCCACGGCCGTTCCACTGCAGGAAGGGTTAGCTTTTGTCTGAAAGCCCGCCTGGCCCACCCGCCCCTTCCCTGTCTCCGGCAGGAAAGAAAGCCTTACCCCCAGGGTCCCCGGGGGACGGAGGAGAGAGGACAATGAGGACCGGCCGTGGGTGGGAGATCGGGGTGCAGACCAGGCTCGTCGCTCAGGAGGACGGATGGCACTAGACTCTGCACTGGAAACAGTGGAGCCCTGTTTATCTCCGTGTGACAGATGCCACTGCCGTGTGGCCCCTCCACTCGGGTCCCCGACGGAGTCACTACCTGAGGCAGGCAGGGCCCCAGCAACCTAAGGCCCGAGGTGAGGCGGGAGTGTGAGGTCTGTCTCCTCTCTCATTCCCGCGGTTGCTTTTCCAGCATGGGGGTGGGCTCCCCAGAGCAGGTCCCCGCCCCTCTGGGGAGTCAGAGCCATGGCTGACAGGCAGGGCTGGCCAGCAGGACACACCCACCCCGTCCTGTTCAGGCAGGCCCCCCTGCCCACCTTTGTGGGCTCCTCCTCTGGGCTTTCCTGCGAGGACCTGAACAGCTACTGCGCCTTGATTCCCCGTCCAGCTTTTCCCTGCAAACTCTCCTGCTCCAGTCCACCAGCCGTTGCGACCTCCCCCGGGCTCCTTCCCCAGCCCCGCATGTGTCTGCCCAAACCGGTCCCTCCCGGGAGCCCTGCCCGCTCCTCTCTGAAGCCGGCTGCGCCCGACTCTGCTGACCTCACGTCAGGGTAAAGCGACGGGAAAATGATGATCTCACACACACACTTCCAGAACGGAGCCTGAACTACCACCAACACACCCAGCCCTCCCTGCCACCTATGACGAAAGGGCAGTTTTGAAAGTGTGGTTTCCTTTGTCCCCGCCAGGGGCGCGAGGGTGCAAAAGAAAACCCCCTGGTTCCTTCGAGCCTGAGAGCAGACCTTCGCGGTGTCCGTAGGCCACGTCCGGGTCCTTTTGTGCCTGCAGGTCGCAGCCTTTATGACCATTTGGCGACCGTCGCCAGCAGGACTTTGCAGAGCGGGGGTCCTGGAGCGAGGGCAGGCCCCGGAGAGCAGTGCTCACCAGCCACGGGGCCTCGGGGCCCTTGCGAAGTTCGGGGGAGGGCTGAAGGGGGAGAGGTGAGGTCGTGGGTCCGGCTGGTGCACTGCGCACCCCCCTTCCCATACTTCACGGGGGACGGGGGTAAGTCCTGGCAGGTTGGACTGGGAGAAAATCACCCACTCTGAGCTCAGAGAAACCAGTGACCCACAGAGCCGTCTCAAACTCTCTCTCCTTCTTCAGAAATCAAGCGCTGTCTGGGAAACTGGCCCTCCGCCCGTTTGGGGTTTCCGAGGACGGAGGGCTCCCTCGGACCATCGGGGCTGGGGACTTAGCCCGGGTTCAGTGTGAGGACTCGGCCCCACGGGCATACGCTGGCCTCTTTCCTCCTGTGGCCCTGACCCCCGCCCCGGGGCCATTCCCCGCCCGCCCGGGGGACTGGCCTCTCTGCGCTGGGCTGCATCGGCCCTCTGTCGCCCTCTGGTTTCCGGGGGAGTCCGCCCGACAGAGGGCACTGAAAGGACAGGGGAAGGGAGGAGGGAAGTGGTTGGGGCATTTTGTCCCAGCTCCCACCTCCCTAAGGCACCTGCGTCTCCAGCAGGTGCGTGTCCCTTCAGACCTGGGCAAGGTAACGGCTTCCGCAGTCATCACTCGCACCAGTTCTCCATGGCCACGTAACAAAGCGCCTGGCTGGCTACGATCCTCACAGCCTTGCGGGCGACTCTGCAGTTTGGGCCGCCGGGCTCGGCTGGGCAGCTGCTCTGCTGGGCTCCGGGGACCGCTCACGCAGCTGCTGCCGCCACCCGGCAGCTGGACGGGGCGGGCGCCCCACCTGGTGGTTGGTGCTGGCCGCCGGCCAGCTGCCTTGGGTCTCCCGCACGTGGCGTCCGACCACCCGCCAGGCTAGACCTGGCCTCTCTCTTCCCACGGGTGTCCCCGGGAGCGCCTCCCGAGAAGGAGAAGGCAGGAGCTGCAAGGCTTCTGGAAACCTCGCCGAGGCCATGTGACAGCACCGCTTCTGGCACGTTCTATGGGCAAAAGCAAGTCACGAGACAAGGCCAGACTCCAGGAGTGGGAAAGCGGACTCCATCTCTTAATGGGAGAGGCTGTGACGGCAGGTTGCAGAGGGGCCTGGACACGGGGACCCCCATCACTTGCCATCTGGCACCCCAGTCTCCATCCCCTTAGTTTTCCAGGCCGATGTGGGCGGTCCCTCCATTGAAACCTCTTCAGCGGAGCCGGCGGACGGAGTTCTGTTTCCCGCCAGGACCCTGATGGGCACGCCCCATCTCTGGGGCGCTCCCTGCACTCACACCTGCCAGAGGCGCCACCTGGGGCCTCTGCAGGCCTCTGGGGGGGGGGGTCTACTTCAACTCCACACCGGGCCCGCATCCACGCTCACAGGCGCCCACGGAGGCAGACCCTGGCACCCAGGCGAGTTTCCAGGCCCTGGTTAGTGAGACGCGCTTCAGGGGGCTCATGGCCTCCCCGCTCGGTACCGCTGTCCCCGTTCGACCGGAGCCAAAGCCCGAGAAACACGGGCGTGGAGAAGGGCGCCTGCTCTGTTCCGGGGAGGGGGGCTCTGCCCCTGGGAGGTGAAACGGTTCCCTTCTCCCACCTGGAGTGAGGCGGGAGCTTTCGGACGGGCAGCCCGCGCCCCGCCGCCGCCCCTCCGGCTGATTTTCCACCCGGAAAGTTCGGTCCTTTTCTCAAACACAGAGCAGGTCGTTTGTCTCGCCCCCGCCTCTCCCCAGCGGGCAATGGCCTCTATACCCACCGCCAGGTCTTCTGCATCGCGCCCGAACTACTCCCTGTGCTTGCGCCCACCTCTCTGACTTCCACACTCGCGATCGCCAGGCCCCGGACACACTGGCTCCCTCACGGCTGCACGGAGGTGCTGAGGTCCGTCCCTGCTCAGAGGCTCTGCACTCGCTAATCCCTCCACCTGGGATGCCGTTTCCTCACATCTCCCCATGGCTGGCTCCTTCTCATCAGGCCTCACCTTGAGTGTCACCTCCACAGAGAAGCCCTCCAGTCTTACTCCTTGAAATCACTCCGTGTCACTCTGCTCGCAGCACCTACCACGAGCCAAGACCTTTCCGATGGTGGAGTTGTGTGCTTTCCTTTCCCTGGGAGCACATCGGCCCTGCGAGAGCAGCAGCACTCTCTGGGGGTCACAGACGTGACCCACAAACCCTGGGTCTGTCTGCAGGCGGCTCTAGCCGCGGCACCAGCCTGCTTCTTGAACAAGTGTTGGCATTTGTTCTCAGCCGCTTCAGGAATCTGGTCTCATTCCCAGACCCCGTGACTCAGCTGGCGACAGGAGAGAGGGCTGGGTTGGGGACACACAGGTGCCTTCGGGTTTCGGGGAGATGGCGGCACTCCAAGGAAGCAGAGTGACAGGGGGCAAAGAATCAAGCCTGCGGGCCGCCCCGCCCCTGGGAGCCGACCTTGCCTGCAGCGACCTTGCCAACTCCCAGCGTGTGACAAACAAGGCGACCTCCCAGGCCCTGGAGGGCCAGCGGCACCTAGCTACAGACAGTTTGCACAGCCAGGGCTCGGGTGAACTTAGGTTTCCCTTTGCAGGACAAAGGCACACACCCCCCGCCAGCCCATCCTGGGAACGCCACCCCGGGAGGCCTGCTCCCACCAGGCGTTCAAAGCCCACAGTCTGTCTCGCTGGCTGCAGCGGGGCTGGCCCAGGGCAATGCCGTCCTCTAGCTTTGGAATCCAATGACCCACCCAGGGCTCTGAGCCCCGTCACCAAAGGTAAAATAGATAGATAGATAGATAGATAGATAGATAGATAGATAAAATAAGTGGGGGTGGGGGACAGCTGTCATGGAACAGCCTAGAAAAGCCCATTTCAGCTTTGACATGATTCCTTTGGGGTGGGAGCGACTGGGGGGGGGGCATTTTTTTTAACTAGCCGGAGACGCTCCTGTTGAGAAGAAAAGGACCTACACAGGCAGCTTCCGTCAGCAACGAGAAAATGGGAATCACAAGCGGGACCGGAAACCCGATCCCACGGGAATCCCAGTGATCTCCCCGGTGACTGTGCTGGGCCCTCCCCGTCCGGGACACCGGCAAGGGCTCCGGTTCGTGGGCGAGGGTCGGGTGGGTTCGTGGTTTTTTAATGGGTCTCACTTCGGAGCCACGTGCCTGTCGTGATGCCCTTATGCCCTCCTCCGTCGCCCAGCAAAAACGCCGTGTCCCCCCTTGTCTCCCTCAAACAGATGCAGCGTCTCCAAGGGCAAGTGCGTGTCCCTCCCACAAACGGACGTCTTGTCACGTGACTGCTCCGCTCCGGGGGGACTCGAGTTTCCCTCGCCTGGGCAAGCCCTTTCCCAGAAGGAAAAAAAGGGGGGGCGGGGGTCAGACTGCTTGCTGTTCCTCGTTTTCCACGTAAACGTGCTCACCTCGGCCTCCTGCCAACGACAGCGGGACAGAGGCAGCTGAATTTCAGCAGGACGAGCCTCGGCCTTCAGGGCGCTGGGGAACCTTTTCTTGCATTTGTTTTATCTGGTGGGACTTGCGACAAGGAACGAATTCGTCGACAGCTTTAAGGGGTCTCCAGGCAAGCACCTTTTGGTAAAGTCTCCCAACAGCCCAGAGTCCGACACACGGGAGAACGCTGGCATTGGGGCTGAACCCAAGCCGTGACCTTCGTTCAGAATGTGTGCAACGACGGTGAGCTCTCAGATCGGGTGAAAATAAAGGCGTGGCCCGGATGGAAAGAGGGCAGGGGTGCGGGAGGGGAGACCGGCCACCCGTCCAGTAAGGAAGGGCCAGCGCTTTGACGGACGCTGACCGCGCCCTGCAGTCTCCGGGGCCTCCGATCTGTCTGGGCCATTTTGCTTCCCTTCAGGGCTCTGGCTGCCAGCTCCATCCCACCCGAGAGGGCAGCAAAGCCATCCCCAGGTCCAGGGTCGGCTCTGCTAGTGGGGGAGCAGGAGGGGGGTTCGAGGAAACAGGAAAGAGGGAGGGAAGGAGGAAGGAAGGGAAGAGACTACCACTCTGCGTTCACTCACTGATTAGAGCAGTGCTCGTTGCACACCTACTGTGTGCCGGCTCGCACCAGGTGCCAGGGAGAGAATGGTGAGTAAAGCAAGAGCCCACCCCACCCAACCCCCCTGGAACTGTAGAGATGAATTCAACCACATGCACACGCGTATGAAAGGAAGGGTGTCGCTTTGCTGAGTGCCAGCGGGAGGGCTTGGGGACTGGCCTCTGTGCACAGGAAGAACCAGGAGACGAGCCCAGTTGTGGGGACAGAGGGGCAACACAGCGTTGGGGCACTGGGGAGTTCGGGGGGTGGGGGAGTGACCGTTATGTCCGAGTGCTTCTCCCGGGCCAGGTCCTGGCTGAGTATCTGCACCAGCACCATCTTACTCTCGCCTCCGACCAGCCCCGGGGGCCGGGTGCTGCCCCAATCCTATTCCAGAGGAGCGCCCTGCGGCCTGAGACGGCACACTGTGCACGCACGGAGCTTATGACCTGCAGGAGCCCAGACTCGAAGCCAGGTGGACCCCTCTGCAGAGCCCACAACCCTCACCGCCACAGCTGGACAGCTCCCGGGTGGAGATGGAGAAGGCTGGCCAGCCCCTCCCACCTCCCTGTGCTTGCTTCCTCCACCCCCCAGCAGGCTCTCTCTCTCTCTCACACACGCACACGCACACGCATGCTCGCACACACACTGCCCTCCTGCCCCCTCAAGCCAAAATGACCCTCAGCTTCACCACCTCCTGCCTCCCAATCGAAATGTTCCTTTGGGTCCTGCGATTCGGGCGGAGAGCGAAGGGAAGAGCTGGGCCCCCACTGGGGGTGGGAACAAGTAGCCCGGAGGAAGGGGTATCCGACGGGGACCTGGAGCGCGCACGGGCGAGAGGCCCAGAAAGCAGAGGAAAGGGTTTTCCAGGCGGAGGACCAGGCGCGTGCAGACGCAGGGCGCACCCCGTGGCTGGCCCAGACGTCCCCGCCCTGCACAGTGCCCCTCCCCACGGGACTTCCCTTCTCAGCGGCGGCTCCACCAGCCACCCTGGTGCAGGAGCCACAAATACCGACAGCACTCTGGCACCTGCCCACTCGTCCGTCCAAACTGTCACCAGATCCCCCTAAATATAGCCCGAGTCTGCCCACTCCTCTGCCTCATCTTCGCTGCCGCCACCGGCCTTCCGACACCCACCCCCACCTCGTGGGCTATCGTCACCGCCTCCTGACAGGCCCCCGCAGGGGGGTGGGCTCCCTGCTTAAAGCTGCTCTCCGGGGCTCGGCCCAAACCGTCTGCCCCAATGGTCAGGTCCCCGCTTTCCACTTCACGACACACTGCTCTTTCCTCCCCGACACTCGGCAAAGCTCTCGCGTACGTCTGTGCTTACTCGGTCGGACTCTCGCAGCCGCAGGAGGGTGGGTGCAGCCGCCGCCCCTCCCCGGTCCCCCACGCAGCAGACGTGCAGCCAGCCCTTGCTGAGAGATGGGTGGGTGCTAAAGCCTCGGGGTGTGGCAGAGGGAGAGCCCAGGGGGGAGTGGGGGCGGAGGGCAGACCCCTGGAGCCCCTCAGCCACCCCGCGGAGCGGTGCAAGGGACAGCACAGGCAGTCGCCCTGCGGGTGGGGTGGGTGTCATGGCTGGCTTCTTCCCTGGTGCAGGCAGGCTTTGGAAAATGGCCAGGGGGCTTTGGGCCCACTGAAGGGCCTCTCTCCCCCGGTGTGTCCGAGCTGCTGATGAAATGAGTTGGCTGAAGGGAAATAACGTGTTTGGGAGGCACTGACGCCGGCCACCCCCCCCCCGCCCCCGCTGAGGGCACCTTGGTCCCTCCCACACGCTCTGCAGTGCCCAAGGACGCCCTCGGCTCAAGAGGGGCCCCGGGAGCTGGCAAGGTGGCCAGCACCCGCCTTGGCTCCAGAAATCCCAGCGAGGCAGTCAGGGAAATGGGGGGCTCCTGCCGGGCAGGGAAAGTCGGGGGGCAGGAGGCAGGGCTGTGCGGTGCCACAGCGTCTCTGCAGCTGCCGAGAGGCAGACACATAGCAGTCCTCGCTCCTGTGACTCCCGGCCGCCGGGTCCACCCTGCAGCCGCGTCAGCTGCACTGGACGGCTCGCCCCGTGGCCCAGCCAGAGACCCCACGGACAACGCTCGTCCGCTCACTCGGTCCTTCGCACGGCGGACGCTGACGGCGCTGCTTTCGTGTCCCACGCCTGGCGCCGGGCCCCGGGGGGTACAAGGTGGCCGGGACAAGCTCAGAGTCTGCACGGGGCAGACGAGCTGCTGGGCACATCCTGTTCCATCGTCACGGGAAACAGCTCCCACATTGAACACGCAGGCCACTTCAAGCCGAAGTCCAGGTCTCTGGCTTCTCCCGAAAAGACTGGAAGGTTCCGGGTCCATCCGGCGTCAGTTGGCGGCAGTGGGCCTGCACCTCCTCTGGACCGCTCTGCCGCGTCCGCGGGCCCGCCTGTCCGTGGACTTACCCTGTTTCTGTCGGCTGCCCAGCCCCGGTGACCCCGGCCAGCATCCGAGAGGGGCAGACCGTCCCCAGGTGACCTTCTGATGGCAGTCGAGTGTGATGGGGATGAGGAGGAAGAGCGCAGAGAGCTCTGGAACCAGACACGGCCCCTGGCCCCCTGGCCCCATGGCCTGACAGGGTTGAGGCTCCTCCCACTGCCAAAGGCAGGGACACCTCCTGTCGCCCCTGGGTCATCCGAGTCACCCAGCTCGGCGGGCAGACTGACCCCACTCCCGCCTGGGGGCCCTATACACAGGTACAAAGGCGCAGGCGCCGGGGCATGCGGGGTACAGCAAGGAGACATCACTCCGGCAAAAAGAAAAAAATCTTTCTCACTTTCCCCACTTCTCTTAGCCTGGCAAAAAGAAAAACTTGAGAGCTGAGAACAGGAAAAAGACACTTCCCTTTATTGCTCCCCTTGCTGGGAGGGATCAGAATCACTACAGATCCTTTGGGAAGTAATTTGCCAATATCTGCTCAAATTTAAAATATACATATTTTTCATAGATATGACATATTTAAACCAGAAATTCTCCTTTGGGGACTTAGGCTTACGGATTTGTTGAAAACACACACAGGAAAAAAACCCCACAAAAATGAAACATCAGTCTCAAAGGGGGTACTTACACTGATGTTCAGCGTGGGATACACGGTGGGGGTGGGGGGGCGCGAGGACCCACCCGTGACAGACTGGCTGGAGGAAAGGGCTCAGGCCCACACCGGGAAGCTCCGTGAGCGGCTGACAGACTGAGGGTCTGGAATGAGCCTGGAAGACTGCAGGAGCCCTCCCCTCCCCCACGCTTAGGGCGGGAGTTCGTCAGCTTAAACTTCGGGAAAAGACACCCAGTTTTCACGTCCTGAAGCTTAGAACCCATGCATGCATGCTTCTGGAGTTTTACAATTTTCCCTCCTCGTGTTAAATGACAAACTGTTGTCACAACCTCCTCGCGTCCCTGGGTGCCCAGTCCTTTGGGATGTGACTTCGCTGCTCCTTCCACCGAGAGGTGACCTCTGATCCCCGCCCCTCGGAGCTGGGATCACCTCGTGACCGTGCGCTCTGGCGGACAGAACGCAGCAGCAGTGACGTGGTGAGGCTTCCTAGGCTCAGCCTCATAGACCTTTCAGCAGTGTTTGGGGGGGCCCGTTGGAGCGCTGCCCTGAGGCGACCCTGTGAGGAGGCTGGTCCGGCCCCGCTGGAGGACGGCAGGCAGGCAGGGTGGGAGGGAGACCCCCCGGCGGAGGGTCAGCCCCAGCTGCAGGACAGTGAGCGGGCCCCTCCCACCCGCCAGACCCTCCAGCTCAGGGCCGACCGGCCGTGAAGAGCGCAGCCAGGCAGCCGCCGCGTGCAGGCGGTCTGCTACAGAGTAAAAGGTCGACGCCCCACCTTTCCGTTGTCCTGACAGCACCTGCCTTTAGAAAGTTACATCCGACACAAGCGCTCTAAATGCCTCACTTCGCTCTCATTGAAACGAGCTGCTCCTTCCCTACGGTCTCACTGCAGCGATTTGTAAGACATTAACTGCAGAGAGAGGGTCACAGTACAAAGGTGTACGCAGGTTGGAGGACCCACACGACCTGCCTCCTGTAAGTCCAGAAGCCGGCACGGGGCGCGGAAGGATAGAACATACTGGAAAGAAGTCTGGGGGCCCACAGCGCACGGGCTCACGACAGGCGCCCGGCAGCGCATCCGGCCGGGAATGGGAAGTCCCTGGTGAGCCCAGCGCACCCCGTGACGGAAGCGGGCAAGGGTTTTTATCGCACTGTTGAAGAAAAGCACCCGGGGAGGAAGGCATGCAGTGAGACCCAATGAAGTAAGGTCTGGAAGGACACACGCCAGACTGTGTTGGTGTCATTTCTCACCGCCCTGGGAGGAGCGGGCGGTGGGGCCGGTCTGAGCGCCCACGGCCGCCCCTCTCCAAACCCCGCGGTGCGGAGGGACGGGCAACTTTACCCAGCAGCCACGGGCACCCAGCAGCCATGGGCAGCTGGCACGTGTCTGGGCCGCTTATCCTGGGGAGGATTCTCCATCCCCTGAGTCCACTGCGGGGGCAGGGACCCGCCCGCACGGCACGTGCTGAGATCCACTTCGGAGCCGTCCTCAGAGCGAAGGGAGGCGGCACGTGAGTGAAATGTCACCCATCAGACACGCCCTCCGGACGCTGACACGGGCACTGGCGACCCAGAGAAGTGGGACCTCCTGGAGGACCACGCTGGCAGGGACGGTGGCCGTGAGCGGAGCCAAATCTCCGGAGGCAAGTTGGCCCCTGGCTCCCGGGCCCGGGCCGGCTAGTGCTGGGGGTGCTGGGGGCGCTGGGGGCAACACCTGACTGACCCAGCGAAGGGACAGTCATGTGACAGATTTTCCTGCCGGGGCAACCTCCCAGCCTGGACCTCTGCCCCTGCCCCACCAAAGACTCTGGCAAGGATCCAACAGACCACCTTTCAAAGATTCTTTTTGGCGACCCCTGGCCTGGGCTGGCTCCAGCCTCTGAGCCGGGACAGAGGAGGCAGAGCTGGCGTGAGCAGGGTGCAGGCACCGGGGAGGTGCTCCCAAGCTCCCCGTGACTTCCCTGCTCTGGCCGCACCCGGACCCTGGGGGCTGAGGAGGACCGAAGGTCTTGCCTGGTTCCGAGGGAGGGAGGGCCGGGGCCAGGAGAGAGGTGCTGACCTCAGCAGCGGGGGCTTCCAAGTGCAGGGGGAAGCACCCCTGTTCCCCCCCCCAAACTCATACAGACACATCTTCAGAGGTGAGGCTCTGTGGTTCGCCGCTGGAGGGGGCGTGGGAGAGGGGCGTGAAAACCTGGAACAGCGGGGCACCTGTGGGCGCTGAGGGCTCCACCCACCGGTCCCGGGCCTGAGCGAACCGGACACACGGGATAAACTGGATGCCCCAGGCCCTTCGGGAAGGGCAGAGTGGTCCTGGGGTGCAGAAAGCCCCCGATTTCCCCTTGCCTGCAGCCCCAGCACGTGCCATAGAGCCAGGCTCCGGGAAAGCCCCAGGCCTGGAAAGCGTGGGGTCGCTGCATTCCAGACATTCTGAGCGTGGCGCGGACGCCTGCCCCGGGCGCAGGCGCGGGCCGGGGAAGCCCTCCGCAGGCGGCGCTCCTGGAATGTGACTTATTTGTCCGTGGGTCGTTCCGGGATTTCTGGTGGAGAATCGGGGTCTTCATTCAGAGAGGCCAAGCGTAAACACTTAAAATGCCAATAAGCAAAAGCTCGTTACTGATATGCCAGGAGACGGGCAGCCGCCCACGCAGAACTCCGGGGCGCAGGCTCACAGCTGCAGCCCACGGCGGAATTTCCAGCCCTCCCACGAGGCCGCGGCTGGGGGGATTCAGCTGTTCCGGGGCTTGTGACTAAAATGGCCTGGAGTGGATTCTTCTGATGTTCACACAACCCTGTTCATAGATTTAAAAACTATGAACTTATCCACCTTGAAAGGATAGATTGCGTAGAATGTACATTATATCTCCATAAAGCTGTGACCACGCTACGTAAAAGGAGCTCGGGGAGGGCAGACTGGGTGCGAAGCTCAGTCCTACTATGTGCACCGGTTGTGGGACTCGAAGGTAGTCACCTAACCTGGCTGAGCTTGGTTCCCCGCCCTCTGAGGGGTGAAACATGACCGAGTCACACTCACGTCACAGAATCGCTGCGACAGGGAAAGGAGGGCCCTCTGTGACACTGGCTGGCCCGTGGAACACACTCGGAGAATGCGTGTGCCTCATCGAGTCCCTGTTCTGTGCCCTGTTATGTTGGGGACACAGAGACAAATGAGACTTCGCTCCTG